GGATGCATCCGTACTCAATTTTAATGTTAGCTTTGATTTACCATCATCAAATGCCAACATTGGATATTGTGACAATCGTTGGTTTAAACTACATTTATCTAAAGATGTGATAATTCTTGTTTCAATATATTGAATGCATTTTGGCATTGTTTTGTCAATTGAAGTTCTGAGTGAGGGTGAGGGTGAGCGAAAGTCCACGGTAACCATTTCCTCATTTTGATTCGAGAGACTGAGAGCATCTAACAAATTTCGGCCTAAAAAGTGATTTTCGAGAAAAAGAGACGCCTTTTCGGCAAAATCGGTTGTCCGGCAAGTCGATAGCCAGTTCAGCTCGGCTATCGCAGGAATCAAATAGAATTACGGTATATATTTATTTCTTCAGAAACAAGCAATTTCGATATAGCATTTTGTGTTGATGGCATTGATGGCAATGTGATTATATCAAAGAGAGATGTCTCACGACGATATTTAAGAGCCACTTCGACGATAATCGATTCAAACTCAGTCACAAATAGAAACTTAGTTTCGCAACAAGTAAGTGAAGTACGGAGGCGCGAGGAAACGCTCATATTTCTTCGTTTCCAGTTGAAATCGATATGTGGTGGCCTCAATGTTATAGTTATTTATATCCAGCTGCAGCATAAACGACGAAAACGGTAGTTTGATTTCTTTGTTCGTCAATTAAAGTCAAAACTGGTGACGCTTTTTGTCATAGTTCACCGTTGGTTACCGAGCAAACGTGTCAGAATGAATTGATCATCACATGCTATGCTGTATATCCAATTAATTGTCAAACATCGACATGCCAAACAACTTACGATCAATTAATTCAAAATTCAATTGGAAATGCAACAAGTGTGCACTTGTCATTTATCGATTCAAATAATGCAACGGTAGTGGTCAATGCCATAGTTTTGTCTATAACCAATATATGTAAGGTTCAACTGTTCATGTGTGTGTGACTTTTATTTCTTTGCTTTGTCTTCCATTCTTAGCACCACAATTATCACTATCCACGTCCAGAACGCCGAATTCATTACAATCTGTAGCGACTCGTGAGTACTTTCTCGTCTTTTTATAACAGATAAAATTTGTAAACACTCGTCAACGCGATCCTGTTGCCATCGACAGGCGAGCCGATGATCTTATGATAATATTTTAAAATTATTAAAGCACTTTGTCTTTGTAATACACTTTAATTTAATAGCACTTATCTAGACCTTTCGATTGAATCGTGCAATCTTCTGTACGCGAGCAGAGCATGAAATTAAACAACAATCCTACTCTAGTCGAGTCTAGATTTAGAATTTAAACTGTACGAACCTAGACGTCCCAAAACGAAAGCGAAACTTCCGAAATGAGAAGAAGACCTACTTGTAATCTTATGGAAAGAAGTTCTGAGTGTATGATGACGACGGCTGATCAACGTGCACCGGGAAAACAAGTTCATCATGCGTGGCTGTTTGAGTAGAAGTAGCGCAAAAATGAAATCGCTTTTAAGTTGTTATATGTTGTAAAGGTTTCTTGCTTACTTTCTATCTTGTCTAGTGTATCTAGTAAGAAAACGTGAGCTGCGTATATAGAAGATGCCACTGTATATATGCGCATTATGGAACATGGCATCAGAAGAAAAGGGAGGAATATGACATCTAGTACTGACCAGACTAATGACGTCTGTAGAGCAGGAGATAACCTGACGTCAGAAGAATAAGAAAGAACGACTAAAGTGACTGTTAGCATTCAGTACCAGTTGTTGCTTGTTTGGATGTATTATAAGGAGATATGACAATGGTAGATGATCATCCCAATCTGATTGTTGTTGATTAACGTATGTGCAAATGGAAGCCGCTAAGGTTGCATTAAATCGTTCGGTTAGACCATTCGTTGATGGATGGTATGTTGTTGTTTTAGTATGATTAACACCCCAATGGGAAGCTATAGTTTTAAATACATTAGCGATAAGAGGACTTCCTTTATCTGTTAACAATTGTTTTGAAACACCATATTGTAAAAATTATCTTTTCCAACAGAAATTTAGCTGCTGTGTCAGCTGTACAATCGGATGTTGCTTGTATAACAAACCATCGGGATAAATAATCCGTGCACACTAGATTATATTTATTACCCGCTGCTGCTGATGGTAGTGGATCAATAAAATCTAACCCCATCAAATACAAAACGCGTGTTGATAATAATGTTCCAGCTGGTCTTGTCCTTGATACCTTGAATTGTTGACACTTTGCACATTATAATACGTGTTGTTTAGCTGTGTTACACATTCCTAGCCAATAATATCTAACACGAATCTTGTTCCAGGTTTTGGTAATATCTAAATGACCACTTGCTGGACTATCATGATAAGCCTATAAACGTTTGACCATTAATGTTGGTACGTTTTTGTCTCGACGTTGAATGTTTATGTCTTTCAATTGATGTTGTTGAATTGTGGTTGAATCGAACGAGGAGGTAACGGCCACTGTTGTAGTGTGAATGTTATTCACTCGTCCACACATTAAATCTAACTGTTGATCAGCAACATCTGGCTTGTGCGCTGGATACCTTGAGAGACAATCAGCAACACAAATTGATTTACCAGATGTGTATTTAATGTTAAATAAATACTCTTGTAGTTGCAATGATTACCGATCTAATCTACCGTTTTTAAATGATTGTTTATTTACCCAGCATAATGGATGGTGGTCTGTGAGAACGGTAAAATCCCGCATGTATAAGTGAGGACGTAATTTAGTAATACACCAAACCAGTGCTAAGTGTTCTTTATCCACTGTTTAATACTTCTTCTCTCGGGATGATTAATGACCTTGATAAATATTGGATTGGTCTAAGTCTACCATCTTCCATAACTTGATGTAAAACACCACCAAGACTACAGTTGGATGCATCCGTACTCCATTAATCATCCCGGGATCAATCATTAATCATCCCGAGAGAAGAAGTATTAAACAGTGGATAAAGAACACTTAGCACTGGTTTGGTGTATTACTAGAACCCACGCACTTGTTTTATCTACGGCACGAAGAAGATGAAGAGATGCTAAAACTGAAAAAGCATCGGTTTAGCACTCAACGCGCAGCCTAGAGTGTACGCTGGAAAAAGAAAAACAAAC